CGAAACCTGCAGATGGTATCACAAAGCTCCCTTTATTCAGACCAGGGACCATTAGCGCCAAAAGTAACCAATGCTACAGCAGCTCTAGAGTCAGCTTTCTGATTCTGTGTGGGGCTGTGAGGTAGTGTGGACGGCTGGGCTGTGTATAGGGCCCAATGGGACTGGCTTAAAGGGCACATAGTACACTATTTTCTGATCTATGTTATATGTTTTCTCACCAAAAACAAACCTGGAGTTGTGTTTTGTTTCATTTACACGTTTACGCACAAATCGAGGTCTTCAGGTCATAACAGTGTAGTGCTTCTCAATTATTTTCCGTCACTACCCCTCTAGAAAAAAGAAAACATTTTGCGGGCCCCCACTCGACAGAACCAGCACCAGACGTGGACAAATCGCACTCTCGCCTTTAGTAGCCTACGTACGGGAGCAAACGTTTTAGTCGCGTCTCCAAAGCAACTCCCGGGACACACGCAGCATGTGTCCGTCCAGATTCCACGCTGCGCCCACTTGCGTCACGAGACGGTCCGCTCCCATGTCCTCCTCGTCTTTAAAGGTGATGTCAATGGTTTACTCAAGTAGCATTCACAAAGTGGGATGATTGTTGGCAATATTTGGCAAAACTCAAGTGGCTTATCATTAATGTACAATGTCTTTAAATTACGCTGTAATTTATTTGGCTTCATGCTGTCCGCTGCCAACATTTTTAGGCACAGTAAACACAGCGGTCTTACCTCGTTTCCCACCATAGTCACAGTGAAGCCGAGTGCTACATACACTTTACCACTTTACATACAGTTTGTTTACCTCATTTCATATCTCCTGCTCTGTACTGTGTGTGCATTTGCTCAGTATAAAAAAAAAAAAAAAATAAAATACTATAGCACTAATACTCCCTGCACAAACTCTGACAATGAGAGCGTCACTGCCAACTACTGTAGTGGATGTGCAATTACACTTTATTCAAGTACGGCAAAAAAAAAGGTCACACACGCGGCTCTGGCATCGCGCCCCACTATTTGAGAAGAACTTTAATATAGGAAGGAAGTGCTACATTGTGTTTTTAAACTCTGTACACTTTCACTAAAATCATTTGGATCATTTCAGACCTGGAACTGCCAGTCTCTGCTGAACTAAATGTAAAAGGTAGCTGTTAACTTGAAAACTACCACTTCATGACATCACAAGGCGGAAATGAGTAGGGATGCACCGATCTGATATCTGACATCAGCACCGATAGTGAAAATTTTGCTGGATCGATATCGGCTTCCAACTATCTATCCATCTGATGTTCTGGTGGAGTCTAAAAGTGTATGTCATAACACTATTTTGTGAATGTATAATCGGTCCAGAAAATCTCAATGATTTAACTTACACAAAGCTGTTCTGCAGTTACTTGTCTTTTTGTTTAAAGGAAGTAATTGCTTACCCTGATTCATCAGCCGGTTTCACATTGTGGAAACCTTCTGACCTCGCAGCATTAGGATTCGCTTGCTCGACGGTAGGCGGGTACTTTTTTAATTTAACCAATCACTACTATTTGGTCGTGACGTATGTAATGCTCCAAATCTTGTAGGAAGAAGGGCAATAACGTCTTTCCCCTTGATAAAATTCACAAAACATTCTCTTTGTTCCTGCTTTAAATGCTCAATCTCGGGAATCGTTGCCAATACAGAATGTCTGTCTTCGTCTACATCCATCTCAACAGCTTTGTTTACTGTTGTGCTGTACCACAAAAGGGACCCATATTTCAATCTCTGCACTGGTATTTGGTTTCATCAGTTATTTAAAGTTATAGTATTGGAATCGTATCGGAACTGAAAAGGCTGGATTGTGCATATCCAGAACTGAGCATTCTTTATAGATGTAGACAGACTAATAATAAAGGATTATCCAAACATGTGTGAATGAAACAAAACACAGCTCTATGTATGTTTTTGATGGTGTAACAACATTATGACACGGCTTAAAGCTCACATGAGTCAGTTTTGCGTAATATAGGACCTTTAATATCCCCGGAGTAGACAAAGCAACTTCAGTTTCAGTTTGCCCTCTCTTTGTTACAGTCAAAGTGCCCAAAAATTCAAGACTGAACTCCTCCGTTTCTCATATAAGAGTGGATTGGATTTGCTTCATGGCTTTAGAAGTGCCTCAGAGTTTGTGTAGACAGACTTGAGGAGAGTGAAAGTAAAAGATGCTGTGGGTTTGAACAGTGACAGTGATGCTGTGAGACTGATCACATGAGTCAGGGCCTGTCACCGAGTCTGACGCAACTGTGCAGCAACTGAGGGCCCCGAGCTAACACGGCTAACAGCGCTAATGCAAATAACACAAACTTTAAATATGCATTGTGTAACTTTTCTGGTGGAGGGTCCGTCAGATGTTTTTCGCCGTGGTGATGTAATTGCTTGGTCTAGAATGTTTCACTGTATCGTCTTGAACCTTAGAGTCATCACGGAGACCAAACCAGACCAAGTTACAGGTTAGATCTGTGGAAAAGCAACCCCGCTCACAGTCAGAATGCCTGTTTTTCTAAGTATTTTAAAGCTAAAAACACCTGTAATTGAATAAATGTACAATAGAGCAATGACAATTCCATAGAAAAAGTTACACAATTCAATGTTAAGATTACATTTGCTTGTACCAAAGTGATTGATAAGAATTAATATTTCATTTGCTTAAGATGTAATTATTTTAAACTGCATGAATTCCCGTTGAAAGTGAGATTAACGAGGACTAAACCTGGACCTAAACTTGGACTAACCCAGAACTACAACAGGATCAAACCAGGATCAAACCAGGACCAGCCCTGGACCATCAAATTGCTTCAAATTTTATGTTAGGTGTCTTGCCCAAAGGCGCTTCCACAGCAATATAACCAAACCATGGGAACCGAACTATCAACTTTTATCCAACAGTTAAGAAGTACTGTATGTTGTTCATCAATAAATTTGATAAAAAATTGCAAGTAAAAGTAAGAAAGTAAATGAAAGTAAAATTAAGTTTAATGCCATACCGTGGAACATTCAAGTCAAAGAAACATCATCTCCATGGAGACCAGTATGTGACAAAGTTGCACCAAACACTGTGCATAATCAGTTTTTTTTTTCTAATATATTGACTATAGTTCAACAAATGTAATCTGGAAAAGGATGAGGACAAAAACAGAACTAATACCGTGACATGGGGGCAGAATGTTTATCAGTTACCATGGAGACGCAATAACTACCAAAAATGTTTTAAGATTGCCTGAAAACTAAAACAAAAACAAAAAAAACTATAAAATAAATACGAAATGGATTTAAGCATTTTATGGGTAGAGGGACCACCACCTGCTTGTCTCCATGGAGATTATTTCTTACTTTGTCTGAAATATTTCACAGTGCAGCATTAAGCTTATCCATCTGTCATTCATTCAACTATGATTTTATAGCTCAAAGAACGTGCAGCAGGTTATCCTTCACGCAGATCTGACCGGTATCTTGGTCTGGTGACATCTGATCCAAAGCAATTACATCGTCAGTGACTCTTTTAGTCAAAAATGCAGACAGACCGTTCGCCAGAAAAGCTACATAGTGCGTCTTTAAAGCTTCACCTCTCCTGTACAAACTGCTTCACAAATAGAGCATGGCACGAGATGAGATTAGATGCAGAGTTAATGAAATAAAAGCTCACGGGCACAGGGAGAGGGCTGCCCGCTGTGTCCGAGCTCGTTACAGCTATTAAGATATACGCCTAACAACTGGTCCATTCAATTCTCTGTGCCTTTAAAGATGCACTGTGTAACTTTTCTGGTGAAGGATATGTCACCTGCTTGTTTCCATGGAGATCAGTGGTGGAAGAAGTACTCGATTTTGTAACTTGAATACAGATACCAGAGCAAATAAATACTAAACTAAATAACTAAAAGTATCACATGAAAAAATCTACTTAAGTAAAAGTATTTAAGTACCTGTTTAGAGTAAAAAGTAAAAGTATTTTGCACAGATTTTGAGATCTAATAAAGCTTCAATATTAGTCGATTTGTGCTAAATTTTGTGGAGTAGAAAGTACAGATACTTGCTCTCGAATGTAGTGAAGTAAAAAGTATTTAAGTAAAGTACAGATATAAAGATAGAAGTACAATATTTACTACTTTTATTTCATTATGTTCCACCACTGATGAAGTTGTTATCATTTTACATGGAAGGTTTCAAAGTATTTAATTAAACTTATCTCCACGGAGACAAAAAGATGACACTATCAGGTCAAGTCAGATCTGTGGAGAGGCAACCTCGTCCACAGTAAAAATGCATCATTTTTTTAGAAATTGAAACACTTATCACTTTGGAAGGTTTCAAAGAACGACATTAAACTTATCTCCATGGAGACAACAAGATGACACTACCACGTCAAGTTACAGGTCAGATCTGTGGAGAGGCGACCCCGCTCAAAGAAAAAATGCATAATTTTTTAGCAATTGAAACACCGGTAATTCCAAAAAAATGCGTATCAGTTGAAAGCAACCATGGATACAAGCAAGTATAGAGTACCCCAAACAGAAAGTGACACGATGCGCCTTTAAATAAATGTACTGTGTAATCATTTTAGAATTATTTTAGAAACAATCCTGAATACAGCAGGAGGAATTCAAGTTTTTCTTTAAGTAAATGTACTTTAAACCAATAAATATTTAGATAGAAAAAATAATGCAACAGATCATATTTTGAATAAAGTAAATATAATATGAGATATGATACAAAACATATGACTTTAAATGGAAAAAGTCAAAGGATCACCATTCTAACCGTCATACAAGATAATTAACTGCAACCAAAACCAACTTGGCACACTTATGTTGCTTTAGCACTAGTCCAATGACAAAACGACAAACAAAACAAGCTTATATTTTGTCAATACTTCAACAAATCATATGGGAAACAGTACTAGATGATAAGAACAACAGCCAAGTGATCAAATCCAACAGTTCAATGCAGTAGCAGTAATAAAAGACATGGACCTACCTGTATGAGCGACATGTTACTCAGGTCCAGTCTGAACAGGTAGTTTCTGAAATGAGAGAAATACAGTGAGTTGTGGATTGGTGATTCAGCCTGAGACATAAAATCTTATAACTAACACGATGCAGATACAACGCTGCAACTGCAATGTCAAAATGACCCAAATGTGCAGACGATACCACCTTAAAAAAAGTATATGAAAGTGTTAGGCCTATAATGAATCCCATGTGCAGATAATGAGATGTTGGTGACTTGCATTAAACCAAACAGCTGCTTATGAGATCACACTAGTCTTAACTGGCTAAAGTTGAAAAAGCAAAACAAAAACAAAAACAACACTATAAATTATAGTATTAAATTAAATTATAGAATAGGCTAAATAATTCCCAATTGTGCTTTGTTTCATTCACATGTTTAACACACAAATCTTGCATAGTTTGGTTAGGAGTCCGTCTTGAAAACATCATCCACGTTGCCTCAAATGAAAGTAGTGTATGTGTGAGCAACGGTGGTGGTCGGAGGGGCCGATGGTGCAGAGTGGCAGCCTCGCTTCCATCAGTCTGTCCCAGGGCAGCAGTGGCTACAATAGTATCTTACCATCACCGAGAGTGGAGTGAATGAATAATGCTCTGTAAAGCGTCGTTGAGCTAAAAGCTAATCTATCTAATAATCTGGACAATTTCAGCTCTGGAATTGCCAGTTTCTACTGAATTTAAGGTAAAAGGTGAAAAAGAAAGAAAACTCACTTTTCAGTAGAAACATAAAGGTGCCAGGTCAGGTTTTACTCAAAATGATGCATAATCATGATATTAACATTAATGCCATTTATAATCACCTACAGAACATAAATCATAGACTACAACACATGTGCCCAGGACTGAACCAGGAGGACTAAACCAGGACTAAACCAGGACTGAACCAGGACTATACCAAAATTTAGTCCCGAGCTCTGCGCTGGTCCTTTTGCCTGAGGTCACCTGACAGTTTATGTGGGCGCACCTCCAGGCCCATCCCAACACTCAGTCCTGGTTCATTTCTGGTTTAGACCTGGTTTAGTGCTGGTGTAGTCCTGGTTCAGTCCTGTTTTAGTCTTGTTTTAGTCCTGGTTTAATCCTGGTTTAGTCCTGGTTTAGTCCTGGTTCAGTCCTGGTCCCTCATGTCTCAGGTCACTATAGGACAGTAGTGCAGATATCCTGAGCCTGTGCAGTTTGTTTTCACCATTGCCAATAACTCTGGTTTGACATTTAAATTGTAGCTATTTTTTATATTTGTTTTTTTTAATATATATATATATATATATATATATATATATATATATATATATATATATATATATATATATATATATATATATATATATATCTCCACTACATCCCTAGCTAAAACTACCTCTTCATGACATCACAACATGGAACAGAGAATTTTGAGCATTGAAGACTTACTCAAACATGTGTGAATGAAACAGAACACAACTCCGGGCATGTTTTTGATGACGTAACAGCATTATAATATCAGAGCCAATTTTGAGTAATACAGGAGGTTCAAATTTCCAATATAATTTTCTTTCGAGGTGTATAGGGACATGGAATTTCCTATTGTGTTAAACCATGCCAAATCTGACCTCATGTGAACGTTTTCAGACAGAATTTTGTTTCAGGACACTCCTATTTTAGATCCAAACCTTCAATATCCATCTTCCTCCAATAAGTCCCCAGAGAAGCACTTAAAAAAGTCATGTCTCAAACTCTAGTGAGAGAAAAGGGGTGTCAAGTTCTCACTAATAGAGTACATGTGGAGCGCGCAACAGGCTGGGTTTTGTTTCTCGTACCTGGCGCCCGCAATAAGCTCTATATCTAGTTTCAGTCATAATCCGTACAGTTGCCAGGGCAGATCTTTAAGTGAAACCATTTGTGACAGAATAAAGGTTTCACGTTTTAGACAGCAAGATGGATTTTGGTGCTCTTACCTGGCACTCACAATAAAGTCTGAATTGTTTTAAAAGAAAATAACTTGTAATACATTTGGGAGTGAAATGTATTAAATCAATTTTCTGCTATACATATGTAACTGGCTGGATTTTGTTTCTCATACCTGGCACTCATAATTAACTGTAATACAATCTACTTTTTATTTCAATTTTGTTCCAATGTATACGTTACTGTATGCACAAGAGAGCACTTAAAAGCACACCAGTCGTTGCCAGATAAGGTCATTTTTTGCATTTACATTTTCATACCTGGCATCCACAATGAGCTTTACCTAGTTTCATAACACTCTAATCCATACAGTCGCCAGTTGACTGAAAGCATCTGTGACCGAATAAAGGTTTCATGTTTTAGGCAGGATTTTCTCTTACCTGGCACCCACAATAAAGTCTACAATATTTAAAAAGAAAATAAAGTGTAATGTATTTGGGCTCATGATATCAATTACCTGGTATATGATGTCTGCAGATGGCTGGATTTTGTTCCTCTTATCTGGCAACTATAATTAGCTGTGATATAACCTCCTTCTTTTCATTTCAGTTTTTGTTTCAAATGTGTATTATTCTAAGTCCAGAAATGCCTCAGGGAGCACTTAGAACACATCAATTGTTGCCAGATAAGGTTCAAGTGTGGATTTAACTTCTCATACCTGGCATCCACAATGAGCTCTAGATCTAGTTTCATAACACTCCTAATCCATAGTCTCCAGTAGAGTATATCCTTAACTCAAACCATTCGTGACAGAATAAAGGTGTCAGGTTTTAGGCAGGAAGATGGATTTTGGTTCTCTTACCTGGCACACACAATAAAGTCTACATTATTTAAAAAGAAAGAAACAAGTAATGTATTTGGGATGGAAATAGATTATGGCAGTTATGTGGTATACATCTGGCTGGATTTTCTTCCTACCTGGCAACTATAATCATCCGCAATATAACTGATATCCTTTATTTAAATTTTAGTTCCAAATATATATGACTGTATTATATGCACACAAATGCCTAAGAGAGCACTTAAAACACATCAGTTGTTGCCAGATAAGGTTCAAGTGTGGATTTAACTTCTCATACCTGGCATCCACAATGAGCTCTAGATCTAGTTTCATAACACTCCTAATCCACAGTCTCCAGTAGTGGTGGAAGGTAACAAAGTACAAAAGAAAAAGTACAATACTTTTGTCAAAATTGTAGGTATCTGTACTTTACTGAAGTAACTTTTACAGTAGATATTTTTTTTTACTTTTACTTCACTACATTTGAGACAATGTATCTGTACTTTCTACTCCACTACATTTTAGATCTGGACTGAAAAATAAAAAGTACTTTTTTTTTAATGGTATGAGACCTACTGAAATGGTTGAAACTTATTTTGAGCACATGAAATTTGAGTTAATGTCCAAATTTTGAGTAAACTAAATGCACAAAAACAGCTAAAAAATTTTCAAAAATCAACCAAATTGCTTAAAATCAGACAAATTATTTATCAAAATCATTACATTTGTTACTTAAATTGTCTATAAAACATTACAACAAAATACTCTTACTTTTTACTCTTAAAGTACCAATCTGAACAGGTACTTCAGTAATTTAATTTGAGTAGATTTTTTCATGTGATACTTTTACTTCTCTATATTGTACTTTTACTTAAGTAAAAGTACTTCATCCACCACTGGTCCCCAGTAGAACATATCCTTAACTCAAACCATTTGTGACAGAATAAAGGTATCAGGTTTTAGACAGGAAGATGGATTTGGGTTCTCTTACCTGGCACCCACAATAAAGTCTGTATTATTTAAAAAGAAAGTAATGCATTTGGGATGAAACTATATTATATCAATTATGTGGTATGTATCTGGCTGGATTTTGATCCTACCTGGCACCCATAATTAGCTGTAATTTACTGTAACCTGTATGATTTATTTCCATTTTTGCTCCAAACATATATTACTGTATGCACAGAAATGCCTAAGAGAGCACTTAAAACACATCAGTTGTTGCCAGATAAGGTTCGAGTGTGGATTTAACTTCTCATACCTGGCATCCACAATGAGCTCTAGATCTAGTTTCATAACACTCCTAATCCATAGTCTACAGTAGAGCATATCCTTAACTCAGACCATTCGAGATGGAGGTTTTAGGTTCTCTTACTTGGCACCCACAATAAAGTCTCTATACTTTAAAAAGAAAATAACCTATATTTCATTTGGGAGCAATTTTTTATCAGTTTGTAGCAGGCTGGATTTAGTTTCTCTTACCTGGTGCCCAAATGTATTGTAACATAATGCACTTCTTTTGGATTCAAGTTTTGTCTTAAAGTTATACCCTTCTCAGTCCAAAAAGAGCATAATATTGAACACTTAAAACACATACACTGTTGCCAGATGTGATGCTTTTTCAGTGTTGATTTACGTTCTCTTACCTGGTGTCTATATGAAGCATTTGTGAGGGAAACTAAAGTTCTCCATAACACAGTATTGGATGTATAACGCTGGATTTATACGGAAGCCAAGAGGGGTCACAACAAACGCAAACGCCGCAACAAATACAAATGTGACAACACAACAAAAAGCCACAACACACCAAAAAAAGCCACAACACGCCACAACGGAAATGACCGTGGGACTCTATTTTAATGCAAACGCCGCAACAAATACAAATGCCACAACACAAACGGAAAAGCCGCAACACATTAAAAAGCCGCAATACATTAAAAGCCGCAACACATTAAAAAGCCACAACATATTAAAAAGCCACAACAGAAGTGACCGCGGGACTCTATTTTCCGACGGACCGATCAAGCGGCAAAAGAAGAAGAAGAACTGAAACCATCGGAAAATAGAGTCCTGCGGTCACTTCTGTTGTGGCTTTTTGATGTGTTGTGGCTTTTTAATGTGCATTTCTGTTGCGGCGTTTGTATTTGTTGCTGCGTTTGCATTAAAATAGAGTCCCGCGGCCATTTCCGTTGTGGCTTTTTGTTGTGTTGTCGCATTTGTATTTGTTGCAGCGTTTGCTTTTGTTGTGACCCCTCTCGGCCTCGTGGATTTAGTTTCTCTTACCTGGCGCCCATAATTAATTGTAACATAATGTACTACTTCTTTTAAAGTCAAGTTTTGTCTCAGAGTTATATCCTTCGTAGTCCAAAAACGCCCTTGAATAGAGCACGTAAAACACACAAATTGTTGCCAGATAAGGTCTTTTTTCAGTGTTGAATTAACTTCTTTATTACCTGCTGCCCAAGCTTTACAAATTATAGTATTATATGTATGGATTTAGTTTCTATTACCTGGCACCCAAAATTTACTGTAAAATAATGTAAGTATGAATTCATGTTGCTTCTTGGTGCTCGTTAAAACACATAAATGGTTGCCAGATAAGGTGCTTTTTCAGAGGTGATTTAACTTCTCTATTACCTGGTGCCCACAAGGGTCTATCTATATTATACATTTATGAGGGAAAAGATATTAAGTTCTCCATAATACAGTATTAAATGTAGCGCGCTGGATTTAGTTTCTCTTACCTGGCGCCCACGATCAGTTCATTGCGCGTGAGGTCGAGGGTCAGCTGGGAGTAGTCTCTCACGTTGGGGCGAGAGAAAGAGGAAATCCAAGGACTCAGCGCTGAAAGACACAGACAGAAGAGCCATTCATAAAGTGGTCAGGTTAGATTACAGACAACAGTGAAGAATGAGCCTCTCGGAGAGACGGCGGACGAGAAATATGAATGAGAGCATTTACATATGTCCTTAGAATCATTTTTGTACGCAATCGTGTGGTGCTCATACTGTGTCCATTAACCGATCAATCAGAGCAATTCTTATAAAATATTTGGAGGACTTTTTGGTCAGAACTCGGATCTCGGAATGACCTAATCTCCAGTCTTCTGATATTTTTATTAATAGATTCTTTTCTTCAGACCAAGACAGGGCTGAATGATTTTAAGAAAAAAATTAATTGTGATTTTTCTGGCAGATATTGCGATTTCAATTTCATCCACGATTTTTTTCAGATCAAGTTTCAGTGCACATGATCATTTGCAAACATCACAGAAACTTACATCACACCAGAGTCCTGCACAGATGATTTCACGCTGGACCGTAAAGCCCAGTTTACACAGACAATAAGAGCTGTGATTGGTCCTCTCTACCACCCCTCTAGAGACATTTGCTATACTCTGATTTCCTTTCTTTCAATAGACACTGAGTAATAAAGTGTTTAATGCAGCTTTGAGCACATGTGTTTACGTTCTACAGAAACGAAACTTAAAACCACATGGCTAATTTGCATAAACTGTAAGCCCTGAAAAAAAAAAAAAGAAAACAGCTGGCTGCTCGTGCACTGATGCGGTCAGCTTCTGTCGGACAACAGGACATGACTCAGTGGATTATATGTGTTCTTTCTGTGACAGAGGATGTGCTGCTGATGGTGAGTCTGTTGTGTGCTTCTATCGCGTTGGAGGTGGTTCATGTTAAACTTTACGCAAACACCAGGTTTAAACTGTAGCCTCCTAGTGTTGTGGCGATGAATTACTTTGCAAAGTATAGCCCTCGATGCAGATCCATAAATCAAAAACAACATTAACAAGGTGACGGCAGCAGTGTGCGCCGAGTCGATGCAGAACTAAACCTCGCCCTTAAATTGAGGTTTAGGGGCACTGCAAAAAAAACGTGACCTTGACCCTCCCAAAATCGTGTTGTCTGAGATCGCAATTTTCAGTCCAAAACGATAAAGTTTCAAGCATTTTGTTTGTCTTAAAATATTCATATTAACCCACTCTGCATCAGTGGTGTCCAAACCACAGACCAGTATAATTTCCAACAATATGTTCGCGAAAAATGGATTGAGGGTCGCGCTTTATGGTATGTGGCCCGATGGTTGGATGACCCCTGCTCTACATGATCTTGGTGTTTTTATTTTACTATTTTGTGCTTAAATAGATTCCAATTTCTAATATATATTCCTAATAATATTCCAAATTCGCTCCTATAACCACTGGCCTCGTGAGCTTAATTTTCATCAGCTGATTTAAACAGGTTTTGGCTCTGCTTTTCTACTGTTAGCGCCACCTGCAGTCCAACTTTTTCAGGACAGCATTCCAGGTGTGTGAGAGTAAAAAAGCCCCCGTGTCCCGAAAACAAACTAAATCTTGGTCTGACAAAAGAATCTATTCAAATAAATGACTGGAAAAGCTGAGTTAAACATCAGATGTGTGTTCCAGTTGTCAAGTCGGAAAAATAATGACCAATATATTACAGTAAAGATCAATAAAAAAAGTTAATTTAGTAACCTGGACATTGTTACTACATTAATAACTTTTCAGTTGGGTCTATTGCCTGCTTGTTTCTGTTGATATGTAATTTCTCTGCTTCAAATGTTCCACAGTATGACATTAAACAAATCTACCTTACATGTATTCAATTACAGGTGGATTTATAGCTCAAAAATACCTAGAAATACAGGGATTCAGACTGTGAGCGGGTATGCCTATCCACAGATCTGACCTGTAACTTGGTTTAAAGGTTTCAAGGTTTAAAGCTACATTGTGAAACGCAGGTGACGAACCCTCCAGACCAGAAAAGTTACGCAATACAACTTTAATAAAAGCAACATTTGAGTGTGAATATATATATATATAAAAGCAGTGATGGAAGGTATTGAAATACAAGTAGTAAAGTAGAATCTTTAGGTATCTGTTTTTTACTTAAGTAGATTTTTAGTGAATACTTTTTACTTTTACTTCACTACATTTGAAAGCAGGGACCTGTACTTTCTACTCAACTACATTTTTGAACAGAAAATAAGAGTACTTTTCATGTGATTTTAGGGGTTATTTTACCATGTCTGTGGTAATATTCAGACTAAAGTTTTCAAGTTCAAGCTTCGGCTTTGAGCTAACAAAAATAAATACTCAAAATTCATAAGAAGAAAGAAATGTATTCATACTGCAAATGTTGATGAAATTCTGTATAGTTTTTTAATCAGTATCACTACATTTTTTAACACATTAAAAACACTTGGACTAGATGAAATACTTTTACTTTTTACTCTTAAAGTGTATTTTTAAGCAGGTACTTGGTTTTTTCATGTGGTACACTTTTGCCTCTGTATCTGTACTTTTACTTCACTCCACCACTGATAAAAAGTAAAGTGTACACCATGAATACTCGCACACCATAAGGCAGTAATGGTTGGCCCCTAAATGTATTCAGTAAATCATTGATAAAGAGTGAGGTGGATTTCAGACAACAGAGTGAAGGATGAGCCTCTCAAAGTGACGGTGTCTATGAGAAATATGAATGAGAGGATTTACATATGTCCTTGGGTTTGTGGGCTTCAAGTGACATCACTGCTTCTACTGGGACAGGTCATGTTGCGTGGAGATGGAGCTGAACTGGACTAAACCAGGACTAAACAAGGGCTAAACCTGAACAAAACCTGAAACTAAACCAGGACTAAACAAGGACAATACTAAAAAAAAACTAACTAAGGACTAAACTTGAAACTAAACCAAGGCTGTACCAGGACTAAAACAGAACAAAAACAAGTCTACATCAGGACTTAACTGGGACTAACCCAGGACTAGAACAGAACTAAACCAAGTCTATATTAGGACTAAACTGGAAACTAAACCAGGTCTAAACCAGAACTGAACCAGGACTAAACCAGAATTAACAGAACCAAACCAATTTAGATCAGAACTAAACATGGACTAAAACTCAAAGTAAACCAGGACTACACCAGGACTGAACAAGGACAAAACTAGGACTAAACCAGGACTAAACATGGAACTAAAACAGGAATAAACATGAAACTAAACTGGGACTAAACCAGGACTAAACCTGAAACTAAACCAGGACTACACCAGGACTGAATAATGACTAAACTAGGACTAAACCAGGACTAAGCCTGAAACTAAACCAGGACTAAACATGAAATTAAACCAGGACTATAGCAGGACTAAACTAGGACTAAACCAGGACTAAACTTGAAACTACTAAACATGAAACTAAACCAGGACTATAGCAGAACTAAATTAGGACTAAACCAGGACTAAACCTGAAACTACTAAACATGAAACTAAACCAGGACTATAGCAGGACTAAACCAGGACTAAACATGAAACTAAACTAGGACTAAACTAGGATTAAATATGAAACTAAACCAGGACTATAGCAGGACTAAACTAGGACTAAAACAGGACTAAACATGAAACTAAACCAGGACTAAAAATGGAAACTAAAACCAGGACTAAACATGAAACTAAACTAGGACTAAACCAAGATTAAATATGAAACTAAACCAGGACTATAACAGGACTAAACTAGGACTAAACCACAACTAAACATGAAACTAAACCACGACAAAACATGAAACTAAACCAGGACTATAGCAGGACTAAACCAGAACTAAACATGAAACTAAACCAGGACTATAGCAGGACTAAACCAGAACTAAACATGAAACTAAACTAGGACTAAACTGGGACCAAACATGAAACTAAACCAGGACTAGACCCAGACCCAAATCAGTAGAGATCTGAATGCACCTTTTTAGTGTCTGAGTAAATCTTTCATTGTTTGGTTTGACTCGACTTCCAAAAGGCGCACAGCTTGTTTTGTTGTGACAATAACAGTGAAGAGGAAGAGGACACAGCAGCCATCTTTGTTTTGATGGAAAAACAGAATCAAATCCACACATGATTTATTGAGCCAGGTTTCATTTTCCATTGAGAAAATAAGTCCCTTTGAGCTCCACGGCAAATAACAAAGACTTTTCAGCTTTGTCTGGCCTTGCTTTTTGAAGACACTTTTTATTATTGTGTAACTATTTCCAGAATTGGACTTTTTTTCTTTCTAAATTATATAAGGGAAAAACTACAGGGCTTATACACTGAAAGAAAAAACTGTCTGTTAAGTACTACGATATCCATATTACTTATTTTCCGACTCAATCATTTCAGTTATAATAAAGCCAAAAAAATAAGAATGAATCAAAAGAAAATACATGCTTTCATTCACTGACAAAACTAACAGACTAAACCAGTAGAATAGAAATGAACAGAGACAAAAACAGGGCCACAGAAGTTTAGTTGGTAGAGTTTGTCCAAGGTTGGCGGTCAGTGGTGTAGTGGGGATTTTTTAAGTGGGGTGGGGGCGATTTGTGACGTCATCGATGTTATTAACATTACAACATGTGAACCAGGACTGAACCAGCACTAAAACAGGACTAAAACAAAACTAAAACAAAACTACAACAGGACTACAGCAGGACTAATCCATAACCAAAACAAGACTAAAACAAGACTAAACCAGGAGGACTAAATCAGGACTAAACCAGGACTAAAACAAGACTAAACCAGGAAAAAAACCAAGACTGAACCAGGAGGACTAAATCAGGACTAAACCAGGACTAAACAAAGACTAAACCAGGAAAAAAACAAGACTGAACCAGGAGGACTAAATCAGGACTAAACCAGGACTAACACAAGACTAAACCAGGACTAGCACAAGACTAAAACAAGACTAAACCAGGAAAAAAACAAGACTGAACCAGGAAAAAACCAAGACTGAACCAGGAGGACTAAATCAGGACTAAACCAGGACTAAAACAAGAGTAAACCA